TTGAGCTGTGCTTTCAATGCCTTCACTTCGGACTCATTGCTTGCCTTCAGAGCCGACGTCTCTTCAGTTATTGTCTTAATTGTATCGTTGGATGTCTTGAGCTGTGCTTCCAATGCCTTCACTTCGGACTCATTCCTCGCCTTCAGAGCCGACATCTCTTCACTTAAACGGTTGACGACAAACATATCGTTGTTGTGCCGGTAGTTCAAAGTGTAGTCCACTCTATAGTTTTGAACAAACATTTCATTAATTATAATAATATATAATATTAAAAAACATACCTGGCTAATTGATATGATTTAATTGCTGTCTCAGATGTTTTAGTAATTAATAAATTACAGATCCTGCTCCAAACCAACACATGATCGTCACATTCTACTACATAGTCGTCTCTTTTATTAATGGTTTTAAGGAAACAATCAGGAAATTTAGCAAGTTGAAAATAGGAAATAGTAATGATGTCGGTGTTTTCATTGTACAAAAAACTATTGGACTGTAGGTAACACTTGAGCTCTTTGAATGTCTTAACACTCTCTGGTATGGGTATATTGCAACTAAATATGTCATCGCGACCTTTAAAGCTTAAAACTTGTAAATCAGGCATTATATACTAGTGATGGTTTAATTATGGTTAAAATAATTGTAATTAATAATTATAACAGTTATTAACCCCTAACCCGCATCGTTAATAAAGTACGTATCGTGCATGGTGGCAGGATAAATAATGTGAGCGTTATGTGCATCGTGGCAGGATTATATAAAGGGACATATCGTGCACAGTGGCAGACTTTTTTTAGTTAAGCAATACGCATGTGTAAGAGAATATGTACAAATGTTGTGTGCATAAATTACGTGCCGACCGGTGTGTTTATCCGTAAGTGAGTACGTATTTATCGGCGCTGTGTCTAAGCCTTCATTGAACACCGGTTGGACGCCTATTTTGTAAATGAATAGCCATGTTGTCGGGCCAAATGTTAGTGCACTAATTAGCACAGGTATAACAGGCGGCAGTGTTTTTAAAAACAAGACATCAGGGTGACAGCGCTATCACCCTGACTAAATATATTCAATAAACAAAAGGTATAAATATAAACATTTATTTTATTTCAGTATACAATTGAAGTTTAACATAATTATATTTCATTTATTGTTATTCATTTTCTAACTAATCTCTACAACCAAATGTAATGCAATTGTCTAAATGTAGATAAAACTTCTGAACAGTCAGTGGACGCGACTTTTGGTCCATTTTGGATAATATTGTGTTGTGATGTCTTAGCCAATAAATTGAATGATTGCGATGATGTCAGCTAATAGGCTCTGGCTCAAATTGTTTATTATATTCATATGAATTGGGTTGATAGAAATAAAGTGGTTTTAAACCAGTCCAATTCAATCACAGACACGCTATCATGTTTACTGTATTCAGTGTGATTTGAAATAATGTCATTATCATTGTCTTTGTATGTATTATTATTGTAGTGATTTAGTAACCAATCTAATTTATAATTAGTCAACATTTTATTTATTATTTATTTTAATAAAAATTTGGTTCAAATTGATTCATTGATCAATAATTACATTTCATAACACATTATAACGCACAAACAATTGATATGAGACTCAATGCATGAGAGATTACAATATGGCTGACGTGTGCTCAATGAGTGTGTAAACAAATAATCACAAAACATATGGCTTGCGTGTGATACATCTACACTGGTTAACACTGTGTCTAATGTTTGTACTCTGAATGTGAAAACAATTACAAAAAATCCTGCCATGATGCACACAACGTATACAATAAAATATACAGCCAATCAGGTCTGCGCGTAATACATGTACATTGCTGTTAACGCTGTTTATGCTGTATTTGTTTACATTAATAAATCCTGCCATGATGCACACAACGTATACAATAACGATTAGTACTGTTAAGCCCATGAACAAAAACTCACGTATCGCGCACAGTGGCAGGATTTTATATAAAATCATGTTTTAATCATACTTACAATTAACTTATATCATTGAAAAATTATAAATATTTAAAACTTTTTACTTTAGACACATATCTGAAATTATTTTTAGCTGGTGTTTGTTGTTGATTTTTAAATAATTATTTAACCCTACATTCATAAAAATCCTGCCACGATGCACGTTAAGGGTTAAGTCAGTTATTAACTGATATCAGACATATGGCTGACTGTCTCTCTGTCTATGCGATCCGATATCACAATCACTATTAAAGTTTAGTAACTAAACTGATGGTCAAATAGCGATCAAGTTTGCGCACATGTGCTGTAATATATGCAATATATTGTTTGATTGGTGGAAGGAATATACAGTGTTTTACTAATGGTATGTAAAACACTAATTAAATTGGCGTCAAATGCAATGCATTTCACTGTAAAAGTATTTGAGAGTCCAATTGTAATACGAGAATGACTTTAAAATGTGTAGTGTTTAGCATATGGATTGCAAAGCATGTGATGAATAATCCCTATTTTCAAAGAATTAAAGCTTTAAATCTCATTGAAATTTGAGGCAAATATTATTTGTATAACAATTTATTGCAATGTACTGTAAATGTATGTGTGTAATTACTGTATACTTTAGTACAAAACACCCTATTTGTTGCACAGTATACAGTAAGTATGAAGACATTTGATTATGGTTTAATCTTTAATGCATTGCTATAACATACGAAGTGTGTTATTACGTATGGTATACTAATGTTTTTAATGAAACACAAATAAAACTCAAATAATAAATGCGATACAAGTGTTGAGTCCATACAAACCCAAGGCCTGTATCCGAGAAACTGGACTTCAAATGAAATATGTTTTGCATATCATTTGCAAAGTTTGTGATAAATAATCCCTATTTATATTATAAATTTTATAACGCTTTAAATATCATATAAATCATTGAAAAATATAATTTTTATCACAATTTAATACAAACTAAAATATTAATTATAACAATAAAATCAGATTAATTACAACACAAAAGTTGTGTTCATTTGAATGAAAGGAAAGTCAAATGTAATGAAGAAAATTGTGGCAAAAATTGAAAACAAAAATATAATTTAATTCTTCATTAAAGAGAGAAAAAGTATTGATTTATCATAAATTTATTCATTGATTAATTATGTTATTTAGAAATATTAATAATTCAATTAAAAGTTTGTCTAAAAAATCAGTAAATGTCTAATTCGGTAAATATTCGGTAAATAATAACAAAAATAATTAGTTCTCGTCTTATGTAACATAAGTTCTGTCAATTACTTAAGCAAAGTCAATTAAATTGAGAATCAAATGATATATTTAAGGCCATTAGTAATTCAATACAAAATATATGTCAAAATTATAATCATATTTACAAATAATACAATAATAATACGATAAATAATTAAATCACTATTTAAGAAATGTTATAAGTATATCAAATAAAATAATAGTTTTAAAGAAGTTATAAAAAATACAAAAATGTCAAAATATTGTCTTATTTTTGGTCAACACTAGTCATGGATTCGCTGTCATCTGAGTCTTCGATCAATTGTCTGATGTCTTCGAGTGCTGTCAACGTTAAGTCATTCTCATTGACTAAAGCCGTCAATAAAGTGTATATCATTTGGTATTGAGTTTTCATTTGATTAACAATTTCCTTAAGCGTTTCCTGAATATTGATATCATCACTGATTTTGTCTGAATTAGTGGTCAATTGATTGTGGGATCCGATCGATGAAGTACTTGAAGAGGAATCCCTCGCTGGACATCTGTTTATATAAAAAATTTTAATTTATTTATAATTTTGCAATTAATTACAATTAAACACAAACCTTATATTCTGTGCATTCATTTGTTGAGCCAATTGTTTGACATCGGATTCAATGATAAGTTTCGATGCCTTCAATGCCCGCAACCCATCCCTCAAACCACTGATTGTTTTCCACACATAATAATCGGCGTATAATAAACACGTGATAAATAGCGTTATTACGGTTATAACGATTATATCTAATCCATTAACATCTGTGGCCACTGTTTGATGACTGAAAATAAAAAATATTAGCTTTATGTAATAAATTAATTGTTAAATGTTTTCATTTTAAATATAATCTAATATTTGTTTAGTGTTTATATCAAACCATCTATCAAAGACTTTCTTATCTAACATTAAAAACTTTGTTCTTAAATAATTAGTCTTTTCATTGATTGTCTCAATTGAATCGATGGCTGTCTTGAACTGTGCTTTTAATGAATTCACTTCGGATTCATTGCTTGCGTTGAACTTTTCGCTGAAACCACTGTTTTTTGTGGACACGATATAAAGAGCTGATAATAAGCACAAAACAAATAGCGCTGTTGTAATCAATTTAAACCAATTTTTGATCACTTCTTGATTACTGAAAAATAAACATTTTTATCAAAAAATTTTAATAAAATGAAACATTTATTTATAAATTATATATAATCTATATCAAACCATAATTTTTGTCTCAAATTCTTGATCTGAGTCTCCATTGTATGCATTGAATCGATGGCTGACTTGAGCTGTGCTTTCAATGCTTTCACTTCGGACTCATTGCTTATCTTAAGAGTCGATATCACTTCAGTTATTGTCTGCATTGAATCGATGGATGTCTTGAGCTGTTCTCTCAATGCCTTCACTTCGGACTCATTGCTTGCCTTCAGAGCCGACATCTCTTCACACAATTCACGACATTTTAGGTCCGATTCTTGACTTAAACTATAGTTTTGAACAAACAATTCATTAATTATGATATTATATAATATGAAAAACATACCTGGTTAATTGTGATAATTGAATTGTGGTATTAGTTGTTGGAGAAATTAATAAATCACAAATATCATTCCAAACCAACACATGATCATCACATTCTACTATATAATTGGTTCTTCTATTAATGGTTTTAATCCAATGATTAGAAAATTTCAAATATGAAATAGTAATGATGTCGGTGTTTTCATTGTACACTTTACTGTTGGCATGTAGGTAACACTTGAGCTCTTTGAATGTCTTAACACTGTCTGGTATAGTTATATTGACACTAATTATGTCAATGCCACCTCTAAAGCTTATAACTTGTAAATTAGGCATTATATAAGTGCTACTAGTGATTGTTTAATTATGATCAAAATAATTATATTTATTAATAATGTAATAACTGTCGGTTATTAACTGATGTCATATCTATGGATGACTGTCTCTTTGTGTATGCGATCTGATCTCACAATCACTACTAGTTTTGTAACTAAACTGATGGTCAGTTTGGGATCAGGTTTGCGCACATGTGCTGTACATAATATATACAATTTATTGTTTGATTGGTAAATACAATATTCAACACGTGATAAATATACAATGTTTTACTAATGGTATGTAAATAAACACTAATTAAATTGGCGTCAAATGCAATGCAATTCACTGTAAAAGTATTTGAGAGTCCAATAGTAATACGAGATAAATTTATGACTTTAAAATGCATTAAGTTTTGCATATGGGTTGCAAAGCATGTGATAAATAATCCCTATTTTCAAACTATTAAAGCTTTAAATCTCATTGAAATTTGAGGCAAATGTTATTTGGATAACAATTTATACATGTACTCTCTGTGTATACTTTAGAACAAAACACCCTTTTTGTTATATATGTGTGAAAACATTGGATTATTGATTAACTGTAATGCATTTCTATTTAGCATATCGTATACTAATTGTGTGAATGTTTTAATTAAACGCAAATAAAACTCAAATTGTAAATGCGATACAAGTGTTGAGTCCATACAAACCCAAGGCCTGGGTCTGAGAAACCGGACTTCAAATGAAATATGTTTTGCATATCTTTTGCAAAGTCTGAAAAATAATCCTTAATTATAAACAATTAACGCTTTAAATATCATATAAATTATTGAAAAATATAATTTTTGATTACAATTTAATACAAATTAAAATATTAATTATAACAACAAAATCAGATTAATTTTAACATAAAAGTTGTGTTCATTTGAATAAAAGATTTAAATGTAATGAAAAAAATTGTGACAAAAACTGAAAACAAAATATAATTTAATTGTTCACAAAAGGGATAAAAAGCATTTATTTGTCATAAATTTATTCAATAAATTATTTATTTGATTAAAACCAAATACAAATTAATTGTTACCATAGAATAAAACACAAATCTATTACAATATATACATAGATTTGTTTCAATATAAAACCCTATTTAAATTAACGACATTTAAATCACAACTTATTTATTGAAAATCAATAAGTTTTATATTAAAAAAATTAAGTAATGTTTTAATTTAATTAAAAAATACAAAAAACACAAAATAAATCACATTATGTCTAAACCGACAAAAAAATCACTCAATTAATAACCAATTCAATGATTTTTATCCTTTTTGTGCTGATTTAATGCATGCCCGGAGCCAAAGCACTTACCGCACACACGACAGGTTATACTTCGGACTGGGTTTGACTGCCCTTTAAGGGTTTTAACGGGATTAAGGGGTTTGACACCCAATTTGGCCGCCGGTTCCATAAACACCGGGTGCTCTTTGTTCATGTGCTGCATGAATAGGAACAGATTGTTGTAACTATTATGACATAAATGACACTTAAAGCTATTGTTATCATTAGTTTGGGGGTCAGGGATGGGCATAGAGGTGGCCACAGGGGTGGGCATCGGGTGCGCCACCGATTGATGGCTGTGAAGCTCGATTTCTGTGCTATACTTGAAGTAACATTTATCGCACGGATAGCGCTGATCGGCCGACCACTGCACCCATGAGTGCACGTACTGTAGATGAGTGAACAGTAATGATTGCGATGTGAATGTCTGCCGACAGTAAATGTTTGGACACGGGATCAGGTCGGGTGAGGCTTTCTCAGTGGTGGTGGTATGCGTGGGCATCGGGTGCGCCACCGCTTGATGGCTGTGAAGCGCGAGTTCTGTGCTATACTTGTGGTGACATTTGTCGCACGGAAAGGGCTGATCGGCCGACCACTGCACCCATGAGTGGACGGACTGCGTGTGAGTGGCCAGTAATGATTGGGTGTTAAATGTCTGGCGGCAGCCAACGTACGGGCACGGGTGCCACGGGATCAGATCGGGTGCAGTTATTCGCGTAGTTTTAGCGGCCAGTCGTGGATCTACGGGCGCCTTACGCTTCTTGACAACCCGTATGCCGGGCGCGATGTCACGGATTAGCTCATTGCCAGCGCTCGTCAACGTTATGACCGCTTCGGGCCCTCTGTTAGACATAAACACGTTTATTAAATATACGATAAACACTATAAGAGTTGTGACAATACTTGTTGACTATTTCCGGCACCAGAGGTATGGAGTCTATGAGCGATGGCTGCAATAGGAATCTCTCCCGACAGACAATGTATGGACACGGGATCAGGTCTGGTGAGGGTTTCTCAGTGGTGGTGGGCATCGGGTGCGCCATTGTTTGATGGCTGTGAAGCGCGAGTCCTGTGCTATACTTGAGGTGACATTTATCGCACGAAAAGCGCTGATCGGCTCTCCAGTGCTCGCTGTGGTCGGACAGCACATGTGTGGACAGTAATAATCGGGTGTTAAATGTCTGGCGGCAGTCGACGTATGGGCACGGGTGCCATGGGATCAGGTCGGGTGCAGTTATTCTTGCAGTTTTAGCGGCCAGTCGTGGATCTGCGGGCGCCGTACGCTTCTTGACCACCCGTATGCCGGGCGCGATGTCACGGATTAGCTCATTGCCAGCGCTCGTCAACGTTATGACCGCCGCTTCGGGCGCTCTGATAGACGCAAACACGTTATGAAATATAAATACTGTAAGAGTTGTGACAATACTTGTTAACTATTTCCGGCACCAGAGGTATGGAGTCTATGAGCGATGGCTTGATATCAACGGGCGATCGGTTACGTGCGGGCCGTTTGGGCGCCGGAAC